ATCCGTAAAGGAGTCGTTTTTGATTCTCTCATTACAGCCATGTGAGGTAAAAAATGGCCTGTTTGCGTATTGTCATGTTTCACGACTTCGATGAATTTATTCTTTAATTGTTGAGCAATAATCTCATGATAGAGTTTTAAATGCTCAGGCCTTTTTCTTAGCTTTGCTAATTGAGATTTAAATTGACTATAAGCCATGTAATAATTGGTAGGTAAGGTTTTATGGTTGATTTTCCATGGTAGCCTTACCCAGTACTGTCCATCATGATACTGTACTGTTTCTAAGTACTGATTGTATGCACAGACATCATCAGGACTTGGTTGTTCAGGAATTATTCCTATGGCATCAAGTTCCCACAATTGAGGTACAGATTCCAATCCATCATCAATCATGTGGGGGATTTTAAGTGGTGACTGTTCTTTGCCTAGTCATGCCACTATTACAGTTTCTGTATGATGTGATTTTTCAGGAGTTGAAGGTTCAAGATCTAGTATAGGTCCTGTCATCAATATGCCTCCTGCTGATTTGAGTATATTCATACCCATAGATTCTTCTGATCCTAGAATGAATCGATGATAGTAGTCAGCTCCAATCAGGATTCCGATATCCCCTATGTAGTCAGAATCAAGTAGAGGATCTGCTAATTGGATTCCTTTTTCTTTTAGGAATTTAATTGTGGCTGTCAGACCAGTCACTTCCATTTCAGTAGGAATTTTATCAACTACTATGGCTTCTACTGTCCTTTGGGATGTACCTAGACAGACATTGAGTTTTACTACTGGAAAGGTTCTACGACCAGAATTAGTAAAAAACCCTGATATGGATGTAGATACTTGCTTTGAAGATTTAAGTTGTAAATCTTCTGCCATCTTTTTACTGATAAAGGTTTTCTGTGACCCTTGATCAAAAAAGCCTCTAGTTGGAATACAAATTCCTTGATTGCATAGTTCTAGCTGTGCAGTAGGCAATATGGCTGTTGTAACAATTTCTGTATCCAAGTCGTTGACATTGCTCATTACTGTACAGAATTGTACGGCTGTTGTGGTATTATCATCTTTGGGCTTTGCCTGAGATGCAGGTTGATTATTGGAAGTCTGTGATCTGGATTGAGTGTTAATATCACCACAGAGTGCTGTGTGATGTACACTTTTATGACAATATTGGCAGTTCTGCAATTGAGTGATACACTCACTAGTATCGTGCTTCCGTAGACAACGGATGCACCTGTTCAGAGATTTCAGTCGATCGATTCGACTGGCACGGCCTACATAAACTGTGCATTGATAAATGGTATGTGCTTCTTGACAGAATAAACATTTTGGGGCACTTGTAGCTCCTTTTGTCTTATCTGTCTTAGGAGCTTGGTTTCCTACAGTTCTGTTAACTGTGGGGGATATAGCATAAGAGCCAACATTATTCTGTTTCCACTTTGCAGAAGAGGAGTTTTGTTGCCTTGATTTTTGACTGCCATTCTGGACATTTTTGCTTTTGTCCGTGGATTCACCTTTGGGGATTTTTTCTTGAGATCTAAGTTTTCCTCGGCTTCGTAATCTTTGTACGTAAGCTCGAAGTCCATCAAAGATTTGGCTTTGTGATAAGATGTTGTTACAAGTATGTAACACTTGTAGGTAAGCAATTACATGGAAGTAGGTTATACAAGCATGTAACACTTGTACTCCTCCAAGGATTTCCTTAAAGGATGAATTGTATCTGTAATAATGTGTATCTACATTATTCATGATGTGATGAAGCATTTTTGCTTTTGCTTTTTTCTCGGCTTTGCCTTTTCTATTAAGTAAGTCTCTTTGAGATGCTTGATTAACTTCAGATTTTCTGAGGCTGCTTTCACTCCAGTGAAAGCATGAGATTAGGTGATCAAGACTATATTCTTGGATTAAGATAGTTATCTTAGATGGATGATAATATTTGTATTGACATTGTCAATGTGTTGTTAGCCTTTCAGATTGTGATGTGAGATTAAGATTGGTCTTAATCCCCAATTGTAGACTATTGTAGCCAAGTGATGATGACATTTGTCTATCACCTGATTTAAATGGTCTGTAGGCTGTAGATTCAAGTGATTTTTTTAGACACTTTGTGTCCTTTTCTTTTCTGTTTCAGCTGCTGGTGGAATACTGTTAGTCATTTTGACCTTTTCCGAGTTTTGGAGATTCCGAGATTTTTCTCTTTTTTCTGATAAATATGTATGATGTTAATGTATTTTGATAAATGAGCTTTCCTGTCTACTTAGGTAATGATTCCAAAGATCGTCCTTCATTTCCTCCCTGGAATCTGGTTGTAGCAGGTGTTCAATTATCAAAAGTACTGTAATAATTTGATTTGTGACCCGAATGCACCAAGTTGGTAAATCCTGTAATAATTTTTTAAAAATAGTAAATGGCACTATTTTTGCAAAGTTATTACAAAATCTGTTACCATAATAATTGTTAGATAAAATACAGTAGAATGTCTACTGGTTTTACCTGTAATATAGGGTATGATATACAGGTAGTTGATTATAGATAGATTGTAATGAAATGCTCTTACAGTGATGATAACACTTTTTTAAAGAATATTATGTAATGAGCAGCTCTGAAAATCAGTAGATTAGAGATAATGCTAGATAATACACTTAAATATGCATGTAATGTTACCACAATGAGGTAGATAATTGGTATTTATGATTAAGATGCAATTGTGTCTGTGACACTGATATAATTAAGTACTGTGGTTTCTTAACACAAAACAGTATCAGTTTGTTATGAATGCTTACTAGTTAATGGATATGGTGGCTTAAGCCACTGCAAACTATTTGTTTACTTAGATATATAGCTATGATAAATATTGGCTGATAGCTAGGCTAGGCTAGAATATGTAAGAATTATTCCAATGCAAAATCAAGATGTTTCTTATGTATTTGGCATTGAAATATTCGGTAAACGAATGATCATAAATATCTAGGTATAAAGGACCATTATTATCTAGGTTCGAAGGACCATTAATGTGGGAAAAACCTGCTGGGATTGATATAAGAGGAGACTACCAGGGACTTGTACTGAACTAAATTAAAAATTACTGTCTGCAAATTAATTCAATTAAAATCTCTAGCTAGGGTTGTAAATCCTAAATCCTCTTTTCCTAATGACAGACTGTGGGCTGTAAGGGACAGGTGGGGTGAATGACTATGTTGATAGAAGTTCCAATCCACCTGTAGACAGGGATCTCACATCAGCTTGTATTTTATACAAGGATAAGATTTGATAAATTCAGTTGTATGACTGAACACTGGCTCTGTTTAAATCAGGGATTTAAACATACATAGTCTAACCTAGCACCATAACTTACAGCCAATAGATTCTTATACTATAAACAACAAATTAAATTGTAAAAGTATAATAAATGACCTTAAATGTAGTCTAAATACTGTCAAGTACTAGAAATTATATTCAATTAAATGAACTTATATGATAACTTATAAATAACTAAGCAAGCAATTGATAACTTAATTTATATATTCAAATATATATGCAGACATATTCACTTTATACAGTTAGCTTGACTGAATCTCTTCCAAGACTGTGGACACTTGTGAGGTTTTTACTTATTGAGACTGAATTCTTTTCTGACAGAATGGACACTCATGAGGTTCAGTGCTTGGATAAGATTCACAGCTACACTACAATTTTAATAAATGTACCGATGAATGAGGCTTTGCCTCGCTTTTTAACCAACAGACAGATTTATAGGATATTAAAGCTACACAAGCATACAATTGGCCAATCATATACCAAATAACCTTCAATATACTTCTCTGCCAGTCGGGGTGCCTGTCTGACAAGTTTGCCAGACTGATTAACTCTCTCTTGTTGAGTTTAGGCACGATATTTTGCTACAGCGTTGCTGTATGATGATCTGGTAGCGTTGCTACGTGATTATCCTGCAGTTGCAGAAGAATGATTCGAGATAAAAGTTTATGAATGAAGGTGGAGGAAACCGTGTCACTGATCTCCACTATACACTCTATTTTATGTGAATGTTCACGGATTTTCCTTGTAGATATTGTCCAGGTACTCCCCCAGTTCTAGAGAGTATTCACTGGCGATAAAAATGTTAGATAAGGTGTCCTTGAGCTGGTAATGTTCGCTAAGGATCAGTCACTTGTTCACTCATTTGTAAACAAACGCGGAGTGCCGCGAGGCATCGTCGTGGGCCCTTCTCGCCCCCCGAGATGCTTCCCCCTCTCCCTTGAGAGGTAGCTTGCAATGAATATTGATTGATTATTTTTACAGTCTAGACTTATGATTAAGATAAGATGTGATTATAATATAATTAGATATAAGATTTAAAGATTATAAGTAGTATTTGAAAGTACCACTGATTCTTATTAAGGATTCGATTTTTAATCCTACCGGATGTTGAATCAATGTTCCAATAGTTTTTTAATTAAGAAGTCCTTCTAGAAGCTTCTGGATCCTTGAAAGATCATGTACAAAGTCACGTAGGCATCAAAAGGGCCCCTGTTGCGTACGTGTTCATGGTGCCATTGTCATCCAGGATCAAGCTATATAATGAATCTTTAAAGATTCATTATATGATTTTGATACAATTTAGATATGATTTTGATATGATTTAGATATGATATAGAAATTATACATTTCTTTGATGATTATTAGATATGGTGGGTAAAAATTTCCCACAAATATATTCAATACTGTCATGCATAATCTATTATCAAAGACATTTTGTATCTAATGTGTTTGCGTACTCTAGCAAATTTATTTGCAAACATTTTAACTAAGTTTTAACATTTGAACTATAATTTATAATTATAACTAAAAAACTATGCTGACAAGTTGGAACAGTAAAGTGTTGGCAGCCATGTTATAAGGAAGAAAAAACATACTTGAGTCATATCGGAATAGTTTTTACAGTATAAACTTAAATAATTGCAATTTACTTTTTAGAGTAAGATTACTATTGTAAAAAAATGGCATGCGTACCTGAAGGGATTTTTTATCCATTGTGAGCAGTTGCTTTAGCATTAATCTTCTTAATTTTGGCATCAGGTGCAGCTTCATGCGGGATGGTCTTTCACCCGAGCCTCCCTGTCCATCTTTGCTGGAGCCTGCTCCCTCTACTAGACTCATGGAGCACGATCTTATACGTCCAGGGCCAGGTCTTGATGCCGAGCATCCATTTGTAGGATTTTTCCGTAGGTCAATTACCCCCGAGCTCTCGGACAAGTGTCGTCGGCGAGTGAGTGTTGATGACGAAGAGAGTTGTGCAGCATTTACAGACCAATGAGGTTCTGCTCTTCCAACATCTGTGTCAGAATAAGTACCAGAGTCCTCTTGTTCCTCTCTGCATCCAATATTGCTATTCTTCTGCAAGGCATTTAATCGTTTTCGTGAAGCAGATGCTTGTGGTATATCGAGAATGTTGCTGGTTCCACCCTGACCAGATCCCACCGATGCCCATTCTTTAGCACTGAAGCGTATATCAATGTCAAATTCCAAGCAGCTAGGGTGGCGCCGTGGCATGGATAAATCCTCTGCGTTATTATCTTCTGCCGTTTCTGTCGTGTCAACATCATTGTCATCTTCAGCTGGTGAACATTCTCCTCCTCCATTTTTTTTCTTTGCAGCAAGGAATGTCCTCCTCAGTTTGTTTGCTGCTGCAGCCAGTGCTTTTTTCTTTGCTGCTTCGGCATAAGTAGCACTCTCATCACCAGTTATTTTTTTCCCTTTTTTCTCTTTACCTTTATTCTTAAAAATAGACCAATCATCTCTTGCCCGAGTCAGAGAAGCACTTGTACTAATAGGTCGTATACTTCTACTCACTGCACCACAAGACTTAAAACTACCAGGTACATCAAATTTACTGGGCTGCAACTTAACTTTACTTTTCTTCCCACCTTTATTTCCTCTTCCTTTTCCGCTAACATTATCACTACTGCCCCAAGCAAGCGAGTGGTAAACAGAGTTTGTCTTTCTGGGGTCTCTCCTATCAATAACGTATCGTCTTCTAGAATCGTGTAAACTCTCTCTGATTCTCTGCGTTTGATATGATAAAGGTTGTCTTCGAGGGTCTGCCTGACTGTAGCCTGAATCGTGTCTCTGCCCATTGTAATTACCCTCCATCTGATGGTTACAGCTGTTGGATCTGCTACCATCTCGAGCCTTCTGATTGTTGTGTGACAAAGACGACGACCTCCGGCGAGGATCCATAGGGTCATAACTGGAATCGTGTCTTTGCCCATTATAATTACCGTCTGAATGATGATTGCGGTTTAAAGATCTGTTGCCATTATGTCTTTTATTGCCATTTTTCATTACACGAGTGCCAAATGACCACTGTGGCATTCCAGAATCAGGATGGGAATTTTTAGTGTCATCTCTCCAGCTAGGACCACTCAAATAAGCATCCATTGACTGTTTTTGCTGGGCCCACCATTTCATATCAAAGGCATACTGGCCACCATCTGTTTGAAAGTAACCCGGATGTGCCTGGGCCCAGCGTTGATGAGTTGCATAAGGAGGAGGCGCATGATGTCCACGATCTGAATCTGTAAATACATTCTGTGCTGCCAACAAGGGCCATGATGACGTAAAGTGTGTAGATGGAGGGCCCATCAACGACTGTTGAGGACCATGGGATGGTGCTGCCGAACTCTGGGGCACATTACTGTCCTGTTCGTTATCGTGGCGCCGTCGACTTTCACTTCGGTAATCAATTGGCGAAGGAGTGGCTCTCTGTCTTGGGGGAGACGGCATTGATGGATGGGACTCCGAGTCATTATTCATATTCCAATCCATTTGTGAAGTACAACGATTGCCCCATCTTCTTGGTTGTTCCTTTGGGCACTCACGCTCCCCCTTGATGTCCCAGCGTGATCGTCTCATGCCACAAATGTTGATCTGAGGAAAAAAATTGTGTTTAAAATATTATACATATTTTGTACTATGTTTTATTATAGTACTATATTAATGTATTATATTTTCAAATACCTGTAATACCTTAATTGTTCTTTTAATTCCTGTTCTGTCTGGGACAGGAAGCCTGTAAGGTTCTTTTAACTGAGATCCACCCTGGGAGCCGGTCGGCCGAGCAGACAGCACACTGGACTTGTGATCCTGTGGTCCTGGGTTCGATCCCAGGCGCCGGCGAGAAACAATGGGCAGAGTTTCTTTCACCCTATGCCCCTGTTACCTAGCAGTAAAATAGGTACCTGAGTGTTAGTCAGCTGTCACGGGCTGCTTCCTGGGGGTGGAGGCCTGGTCGAGGACCGGGCCGCGGGGACACTAAAGCCCTGAAATCATCTCAAGATAGGTCACCTACTGATCTTCCCCCAGGATGCAATATGCAACAATTGCCTACATTCTGGCCACTTTTTCACTTCTAGGTGAACAGAAACATCAGGTGGTAGGAAACATGCCCAACCATTTCTGTCCTGCTCAGGGATTGAACCTGGGTCCCTTGATTGTGAGCCATAGACATAGACCACTGTGCTGCACATTTCAATACTGTATATCAAAAACTAATACAGTAGTATATTAAAATTTACTCTAGTAATTTATAATAAATTTGCAATATCATTGCCATACAGAAACATGAAAGCATTTATTGTGTTATGATTCCCTCATCCTTCAACATTCATTATCATTTTATCATTATCACCCATTCCCTCATTATCATAGTATTATCATTCCCTCAACTCATCATTGTGCTACTGGTGCTCGTAGAGCCTGTGATACTGGTGCTTGTAGAGGCTGTGATACTTGTGCTCGTAGAGGCTGTGATACTTGTGCTCGTAGAGGCTGTGTTACTGGTGCTCGTAGAGGCTGTGTTACTGGTGCTCGTAGAGCCTGTGATACTTGTGCTCGTAGAGCCTGTGATACTGGTGCTCGTAGAGGCTGTGTTACTGGTGCTCGTAGAGGCTGTGTTACTGGTGCTCGTAGAGGCTGTGATACTGGTGCTCGTAGAGCCTGTGATACTTGTGCTTGTAGAGGCTGTGATACTTGTGCTCGTAGAGGCTGTGATACTTGTGCTCGTAGAGGCTGTGATACTTGTGCTCGTAGAGGCTGTGATACTTGTGCTCGTAGAGGCTGTGATACTTGTGCTCGTAGAGCCTGTGATACTGGTGCTCGTAGAGGCTGTGTTACTGGTGCTCGTAGAGGCTGTGATACTGGTGCTCGTAGAGCCTGTGATACTGGTGCTCGTAGAGGCTGTGTTACTGGTGCTCGTAGAGGCTGTGATACTGGTGCTCGTAGAGCCTGTGATACTTGTGCTTGTAGAGGCTGTGATACTTGTGCTCGTAGAGGCTGTGATACTTGTGCTCGTAGAGGCTGTGATACTTGTGCTCGTAGAGGCTGTGATACTTGTGCTCGTAGAGGCTGTGATACTTGTGCTTGTAGAGGCTGTGATACTTGTGCTCGTAGAGGCTGTGATACTTGTGCTCGTAGAGGCTGTGATACTGGTGCTCGTAGAGGCTGTGATACTGGTGCTCGTAGAGGCTGTGATACTGGTGCTCGTAGAGGCTGTGTTACTGGTGCTCGTAGAGGCTGTGATACTGGTGCTCGTAGAGGCTGTGATACTTGTGCTCGTAGAGGCTGTGATACTGGTGCTCGTAGAGCCTGTGATACTTGTGCTCGTAGAGCCTGTGATACTGGTGCTCGTAGAGCCTGTGATACTGGTGCTCGTAGAGGCTGTGATACTGGTGCTCGTAGAGCCTGTGATACTGGTGCTCGTAGAGCCTGTGATACTTGTGCTCGTAGAGCCTGTGATACTGGTGCTCGTAGAGGCTGTGATACTGGTGCTCGTAGAGGCTGTGATACTGGTGCTCCTAGAGCCTGTGATACTGGTGCTCATAGAGGCTGTGATACTGGTGCTCGTAGAGCCTGTGATACTGGTGCTCGTAGAGCCTGTGATACTGGTGCTCGTAGAGGCTGTGATACTGGTGCTCGTAGAGGCTGTGATACTGGTGCTCCTAGAGCCTGTGATACTGGTGCTCATAGAGGCTGTGATACTGGTGCTCGTAGAGCCTGTGATACTGGTGCTCGTAGAGCCTGTGATACTGGTGCTCGTAGAGGCTGTGATACTGGTGCTCCTAGAGCCTGTGATACTGGTGCTCGTAGAGCCTGTGATACTGGTGCTCGTAGAGGCTGTGATACTGGTGCTCGTAGAGCCTGTGATACTGGTGCTCGTAGAGGCTGTGATACTTGTGCTCGTAGAGCCTGTGATACTTGTGCTCGTAGAGGCTGTGATACTGGTGCTCGTAGAGGCTGTGATACTTGTGCTCGTAGAGCCTGTGATACTGGTGCTCGTAGAGCCTGTGATACTGGTGCTCGTAGAGGCTGTGATACTTGTGCTCGTAGAGCCTGTGATACTGGTGCTCGTAGAGGCTGTGATACTGGTGCTCGTAGAGGCTGTGATACTGGTGCTCGTAGAGGCTGTGATACTGGTGCTCGTAGAGCCTGTGATACTGGTGCTCGTAGAGGCTGTGATACTGGTGCTCGTAGAGCCTGTGATACTGGTGCTCATAGAGCCTGTGATACTGGTGCTCGTAGAGGCTGTGATACTTGTGCTCGTAGAGCCTGTGATACTGGTGCTCGTAGAGCCTGTGATACTGGTGCTCGTAGAGGCTGTGATACTGGTGCTCGTAGAGGCTGTGATACTGGTGCTCGTAGAGCCTGTGATACTGGTGCTCGTAGAGGCTGTGATACTGGTGCTCGTAGAGCCTGTGATACTGGTGCTCGTAGAGCCTGTGATACTGGTGCTCGTAGAGCCTGTGATACTGGTGCTCATAGAGGCTGTGATACTGGTGCTCGTAGAGCCTGTGATACTGGTGCTCCTAGAGCCTGTGATACTTGTGCTCGTAGAGGCCACTATTCACGAGCTTGTAGACGTTGTGATAACTGTACTTGTAGGGGCTGTGTTTGTTATGCTTGTAGAGGCCACAATAGTTCTGTTGTGAGGTTGGTTGTGAGGTCACAGAGGTTGTGACTGTCGAGTGCAATAATATTAGACCTAAATGCTCAGCAGTTTCTATGAAATAAGCCACTGAATACTTGGCTAATTGATACCAATACTGTACTGGATCTAGCCTAAATAGATGCCTGTACTGGCCCAAGATGTGTGCACGCATACATACACATACATTATATATGTATATATATTACACACACACACACACATACAAACTAGGTGTTATAAGAACATTTACTAATAATTTTGAAATGCATGGGTATAATAAATGCCTTCTCTTGCTATAGAGTACAGAACATATCAATGATGCTTCTGCAAAGAAATAATCTATATATTTTGTTAATATAATTTAAACACCAATAATTTACATAATGAGGCCTGATAATGAGACTTTACTGTACTTGTTGAATAATAGTAATAAACTGTACAAGATTACAATATAGAATATGTTGTATAGATATTTATATTTTTATAATGCTATTGAAGACATGCAGTCGCTCTAAACTAATAACAGAAACACAGTAAAATGTAACTTGGATTAATACGGTTAAAATCCTGGTTCCAAAACTGACGATACGCGATATCACCAATCGAGCCTGGCCTCAAGCCGGGCTCGGGGAGTAGAAGAACTCTTGAAACCCTCTCCAGGTATGCTCCAGGTATGATTATGGATGCCCTTCACTTTATATTATGGAAAGAAATGTTTGCATGCAATTCACAGTATACTGTAGCGGGGGAAGAGTCAAATTGTATATAGGCATTGTGATAAAGTTTGTTTTCTATTGGTTAAAACTGTGTACATCATTAGGTTGGGTTAGGTTGAGTTAGAGTTACTTTGGATGGGTTACATCAATTCTAAAATCCAATGGGTTCAAAGTGACTTGTATTCATACTATACTGTACATGCAAACTTAGAAATCCCTCTACCTAACTTATAAAAACCTAGGCCCAAAACTGACCACAGAAAAAAAAATGTTTCAGATATGGGCACTACCTGGATACACACCCGTCACACACCTACACCCCAGGTGTGACCAGGTGTGTAGGTGTGTGCCTACAAGACGCTCTTCCAACAGAACAAGGCTGAAGCTAAACTCCAAAATGTTGAAACATTTTCTAAAGCTCAACACCTGAGAACTTTCACTGTCCAAAATATTATGAACATAGGAACAATATAATCTATTATCTCTGTAATAAATGTGACTTAACATCTAATGTAAATAAGATGAGGAATTAATTAGGAGGAACTTCCTAATTATCATATCCATGACAGGTAAGATAATACTGATCCTGTCGTAGGTTGAGAGCTAGTGTAGGCCCAGACCAGCCTGCACCTCACCACCTCTCTACCCCTCATTAACCACCTCACGCCACCCCCTCACACCTCACTCGTCCCTCACACCTCACTCGACCCTCACACCCTCCACCACAAACATTTACAACAAAACACGGAATTAGGTCCTGGGATTAGTGTCAACTTTAAAGGTCCAGACTTGAGGGTGTCGCATTATGTGGCCCCGGAGGCCCCTGGGCGCCTCTGGCAGTGTGGCGGAGACTCCTGAGGGCGAGGGAACCCGAGGAAGACCCACCTTGCACGATGATAACTAATGTGGAGGGGAGGAGGCGGTCAAGGACATGAGAGTCAAAACATCGTAGCCTCCTGCCCGAGTGACGCCATATTTGTTTTGGTTCTGAGGCGCCCACTGCTGCCTCCGCCCACACCCACCAACACACCCACACCCACGCCCACGCACACCACTCTACACACGGTATAAACTTACATTATTATAAACCATAATAACCCACTTTCATGCAACATTTCTACATAATCAGAGCTTTCCTCTTAACTCATCAGGGTCGACAATTTTCTTCATAAACATAAACTCTTCAAAACATAGTTCTTCACGAGGGAAAAATAAAAAATTATCAGTACCACCAGCAAAATATTTTTTAGAGTAAGATGATAGATAAAAGAGAGGAGGTTGTAGGTAAAAAGGAGGTGAATGCTTGAGTTATATTAGCGAAGCGAGGTGTGTTGATGGTGGGCGCTCGTGTGGCGGCTCAGATGTGTGTCGTCTGCCTGGCGGGGGAGTCGCTGATCGATAACCACTCCCAGCCTTTGTCTGCCACCCTCTTCTTCTCTACTTCCTAACACCCCCTACAGTGAGTACGCCTCTACGTCTTACAACCCCTTAACGCCATCTAGGCCCTCGGTAAGCGTCCTCCGTGGCGGAGCGTGATGGAGGGGAGGGGAGGATCCGCCCCTCCTGTCGTGTCCTCTTGGGCCTGACAGGGGGGCGGCCAGAGGCCCTTGGCTTCATTGATTACCCGTGGCAGGTTGTGTGGTTGTGGTGTGGTGACCCAGTGTGGTGGTGACGGGGGGAGGGGTGCTGGTGGTGACGGGGGGGGGGGGTGCTGGTGTTGACGGGGGGAGGGGTGCTGGTGGTGACGGGGGGGGGGGTGCTGGTGGTGACGGGGGGAGGGGGTGGTCTTGACGGGGGAAGGGGGCTCTTGACGGGGGGAGGGGGTGCTGGTTTTGACGGGAAGGGAGGTGGGGGGGGGGTGCTGGTCTTGACGGGGAGAGGGGGTGCTCTTGACAGGGAGGGGGGGTGCATGACGGGAAGGGAGGAGTGGGGTGCTGCTCTTGACAGGGAGGAGGGGGGGCTCTTGACGGGAAGGGAGTGGGAGGGGGGTGCTAGTCTTGACAGGGAGGAGAGGGGGGGTTGCTAGTCTTGATGGGGAAGAGAGGTTCTTGTTTTTAAAGGGGAAAGGGAGGGGTGCCGGTCTTGATGGGGAGGGGGTGCGAGACATGACGGGGTGGGGGGTGCCAGACATGATGGGGAAGGGGTGGTGCTGGACATGATGGGGAAGGGGTGGTGCTGGACATGATGGGGAAGGGGTGGTGCTGGACATGATGGGGAAGGGGTGGTGCTGGACATGATGGGGAAGGGGTGTGCTGGTCTTGACGGGGTGGTGGGGTGCTAGTCTCGAGGGGGAGGGGTGTGGTGGTCTTGACATTAGTGGTTGTCGTGACGGGGTCGTTGGGGAGGCGTGCTGGTTGTCGTGACGGGGTCGTTGGAGGGGTGCTGGTCGTGTCGGGTCTTTGAGAGGCGAGTTTGGTCTTTGGGAGGCGTGTTGGTCGTGTCGGGTCGTTGGGGAGGCGTGACGGGTCGTAACAGGTCGTTGGGGAGGCGTGACGGGTCGTAACAGGTCGTTGGGGAGGCGTGACGGGTCGTAACAGGTCGTTGGGGAGGCGTGACGGGTCGTAACAGGTCGTTGGGGAGGCGTGACGGGTCGTAACAGGTCGTAGGGGAGGCGTGACGGGTCGTAACAGGTCGTTGGGGAGGCGTGACGGGTCGTAACAGGTCGTTGGGGAGGCGTGACGGGTCGTAAGAGGTCGTAAACAGGTCGTTGGGGAGGCGTGACGGGTCGTAACAGGTCGTTGGGGAGGCGTGACGGGTCGTCGTTGGGGAGGCGTGACGGGTCGTAACAGGTCGTTGGGGAGGCGTGACGGGTCGTAACAGGTCGTTGGGAGGCGTAACGGGTCGTTGGGGAGGCGTGACGGGTCGTAACAGGTCGTTGGGGAGGCGTGACGGGTCGTAACAGGTCGTTGGGGAGGCGTGACGGGTCGTAACAGGTCGTAGGGGAGGCGTGACGAGTCGTAACAGGTCGTTGGGAAGCATTGCTACTATTGTCTTGGGCCAAGCGCAAATCACTTGGTAATATTTTAATCCCAGCACTATCTGCAAAGTTAGTGTGTATGGTAGATTGTTCATTTGGGTATTATTTTTAAGCTAAAGAGTCGTACTTTATGATGGTTTAGTATTTTCAAGAATGCATAAAGTAAAATAAAATAAATGGGGAGAAAGTTACCAAATGTGACGTTGAAAATTATGACAACTGTCGTCATAGGAACATTCTGGCATTTTGAGCATAAGCGACCGTAGGCATTACAAAAACATTAAAATTAAAGGATTAATAATAATAAAAAGATATTAAGGTTATAGTTATTCTAGAACTTTTAAAGATAAAGTTTTGAAGGATTAGTTGGCTCTTTTCAACCAGTGTACTGTAGATTTTTGGCAACTGTTTTAATCTTTTTATTCATTTTTTACAATTCCAAATACTGTACAGTATATAGTGGCACTTTGCAAATCAGGACCTCACTATAGTGGATTCCTCAAGAAATGAATGCACTGATGAGTGTTGTAATAATGTTTTTCGTTCTCTTGGGTATTAATTTTAATTTATTTCAAATTGTTACACTGTACCTATCATTACCTTTATTGGTTAGCTTAAGGACCTGCCAAAGCACTGTTAGTGGTTTTACATGAACGTAATGCTCAGTCACCAGTTTACGGTACACTCTCGTAATTTTTTTTGTGTGGGGGAGGGGAGGGGGGTAAAGAGGAAGGAGAGGCATAGGTGAAGGAAAGTTTAGAAGTAGGAAATACAGTGAGAGGTATGAAAGCAGGCGGCGGGCTGTCCGCCTTGCTGACCGTCACAACCTAATGTACCTACTTGTATGTACTGTATATACAGTAAAATAAATAGGTACTGTACTTGGGTTTATTTCTAGAAGTATTGGTAACAAGAAACTAATATTATTCGGCTTAATCTTGTGTGTGTTAGGCCCCATTCGGATTATGAAGTTCAGTTGTGGTCTTTGTACTATAGAATGAACATCAATTCACTTGAACATATGCAGGGCATGATGGCTAATCATAGGAATTAGAATCCTATGAACAGCGTAGAGTAAAAAGTTGCCATGATTAATATAATAGGGGGGTGGGGGGTTGCCATGCCAGGCAGCATATATGTATGAATGCATGTGATCTATAACATGTAGGTGCTTCAGGCTTGTCGAGGGTCACAGCCCCCCCTTCCCTTAAGGTTGACCTTGATTACTTGACTACCCATTGACAATTCCGTGGATCAATGTACCTGTGGCCTGGTCTCCTTCCAGGCCTCCTCCTGGTTGCTGGTCTGATCCACAAGGCTGTTTGATGCAGCTGCTTGCATTGGCACCTTCCCTGGGAAGCAACCCCTTTTGGTTACGTAACTCTTTGGTACCTATTTACTGCTAGGTGAAAAGTAGCATTAGGTGAAAGAAATAGTCGACCATATTTCCTGACCCACCCAGGATTCGAATCGGACATTCCAGATTCCCTGGAAACACGAACCGTAACTGTCTCTATTTTCCGCTTGTTACAACTTGTAATAAAGTTGTTACATCTTGGCTTAACGTGTTTATGACGTATTAGAACGTTGTTACAACTTGCTATATTGGTTGTTATAACTAGTTAGGTGTTAAAACTTGTTCAAACGTTGTACCAACGTCGTAGTTTCGGTGTGTTTCACAGGTTGTGAATAGAACAAACTCGACTGTACTACCAAGACCCAATATATTAATACTGTATAGACATATGAAATAAAACTCAAAACAATAGATATAAATTGGAGAAGTTCAGAATCGGGAAAAACTTTGGTAAATATTAGTGTGGAAACAGGTTTTTATATTAGTTTGCAGTATGTGTTTTCTTAAGTTCTTACAATAATTACTATTGAGAACTTAATCTTATATCTCAAGGAATGTATAAATGTTTGTATGGGCATTTGTTTTATAAGACTGTTTAGCCTATAAGACTTGATTTTTTGTTTGAAATGTTACTTTCCTGATGCAGCAGAATCATTAACCCATTTTGATTAGAACTAATTGATATATAGCCTCAGATATTAATTTTTAAGTGATTGGTGGATAATTATCAGATGTTGGTAAAAAAAAATTGATTACGCTGTGATTACTCTTGAAGCTCGTGGTTCATTGGCCACTTTTAATTGGAAGTGTATAAAAGTTACATTGATGGGCAAATACAGGCAATATTTAGAGAAAACATGTGCATTTAGTTTATTAAAAAATATAATTAAAAATGTATACAGTACTGTATGTTGAAATGAGTATTGTAATTGGTGGAGAGACTTGTAACCTGGCCACTGTGAAATGAAAAGTGCTAAGTTGGTACATCATGTTTCCAGCAGGACTGAGGAGGATGTTGCCCCAGAGAAGACTACTGACGATGCTGGGTGCCTGGCTCAGGCGTAGTGTGCACACCAGCATCTTTCCTCGGCAGTGGTCTGTGCCGCTCTCCCGTTGTACCAAAGCTGGATGGTTGCCCTCGGGTTTTATTCCTGCTTGCTCTTACAACTTGTCGACAAAATGTGAAAGTCGCATTTATAAAGTGGAGGCTCTTCAAAATACAAGAATTCGTAGATTTCACTCTAGTAGTGTTTGGAGAAATGACAGTAGCAATTTCAGTAAGTCGACAAGGAAGACCATTTTCTCAGGCATCCAGCCAACTGGTGTTTTACACCTTGGCAACTATTTTGGGGCTGTGCAGCGATGGGTGGAGCTGCAGGAGAGTGGTGAAAATGTTATATTTTCTGTGGTAGATCTTCACTCCATTACTTTACCTCAGGACCCAAAGACCCTCTTCTCTCAAATTATATCTATGGCTGCTTCACTTATTGCGTGTGGAGTAGATCCTTCACGGGCCATTCTCTTTCAGCAGTCCAGAGTAACGGAACATGCTCAGCTAAACTGGGTTCTTACCTGCTTGACTACCATGGCTAGGCTTGGCCACCTTCCTCAGTATAAGGAAAAGTCTTCAATGTTAAAGGAGATCCCTCTGGGTTTATATGTTTATCCTGTGTTGCAGGCAGCCGACATATTGCTGTATCGAGCTACTCACGTTCCCGTGGGGGATGATCAACGACAACACATTCAGTTAGCAACTCACCTGGGGCGGTTTTTTAATAACAAGTTTGGTCACACCTTTGTCGTGCCTCACTCAATGGTGTACGACGACTCCAAAGCGCGGGTGAAGAGCCTCAGGCAACCTAGCAAAAAGATGTCGAAGTCTGAAAAGGATCCCAAGAGTAGAATAAATATTACGGATACTCCAGATGAAATTAGGGAAAAATTTAAGAAAGCCGTTACAGACTTTACCTCTGCCGTATACTTCGACGAAGAATCCCGGCCTGGGGTGTCCAATTTGATGGCAATACACAGAGCAGTGTCGGACAAGAACTTCGACATCATCCGTGACGAGTGTGAAGGTATGACCACCGCTCAGTACAAGCTCCTAGTGGCTGACGTGGTTATT